TATGCAGATGATAGAACCTAGCTTGCAGAAAGTGCAGAAGACTTGAAGCACTTGCTGAAGAAGACATAAAGTCTTCAGAAGCCTTTTCAAAAAAGGTTACTTATGGAGTAGTGCTTTTTGACATCAACATAAATAAAATATGCACACAACTGAACCAGTAAGCATCATTGTGATAAATGGAAAAAAGGTTGAAATTACCAATGATTTAATTTTACTTAGAACTGTAGTCAACATCACAGAAGCAGGTAAGAAATCAAACAACATATTACATTAGACAAAACTACTCTCAAGGATCTCTTTAAAGTGCTAAAGAGCAAGAATATAAGTTTAAAGACTAATGTATTAATAAAAGGGTAATGTTAAGAGGGAGAAGATCCAGTCTGACTCCCACAAAGGAGAAATGTCCCCATCAATAACATCCTGTATATAAAACTGATCCCATGGTAAGACATAGTCCCCCACACTGCTGCCCCTACTTCTACTAACTACAGGTTCTGATATTTATTGTGGGGTTTCTTAAGGAAATAAGTTGAGAAGTGGCAGGGGAGGGCAAAGGATATCACACTATGAAAGTTCAGGTTCAACCCAGCATCACAAACTCTGGTTTCCTCAATTGTGTAGCAAGCTTTTTTGAATAGCAGTCCCAAGTCAGGTCTTCTCATCCAGAAGCAAAACCTTTGACTCTGGATTAAATTTCAGGGCTCAGTTAGGCTGTGGCAGGCTATGACTCACCACAGTCAAGATATTTCTCATGCTGAAATACCTGAAGAATAAATTCAAGCTTCCAGATGCAATACCGTGGGATTCTTTAGGCAAATTCTCGAGTGATGCTAAAAGCATCAAAAGGAAATAGGATACTGTAAAAAAAATTGGTCAACACTGAACTATTTCAGAAAGTGGAATATTATCAAGAACCTATGGCAATGATGGAAGAAATTCAAGCTGTATTGATGGCACTGACAACAAATGAGACCTTAGGAGTTAATGGAATGCCAGTTGATGTTTTTTAACAAACATGTAGCCCTGTTTATACCCATTAGTCAATGCCAAGAAATTTGAAAGATAGCTACTTGGCCAACTAACTGGAAGAGGTGCATATTTGTTTCCGTCTCCATAAAAGTAGATCCAATAGAATGTGGAAATTATAAAATAATATCACTAATATATAAATGCATGTAAAATTTTCATTAAGATTTGCGCTGTTCATGGATATTTTTATTGTTACTATGTGCCCTCAAGTTGCCTGCAACTCAGCGACCCTACTTAAAACAGCTTTAAACCCTGCTCTATCCCTTACCAATCTTACTGTCTCCAACACACCTATCCCCATTACTTCAGTGAATGAATCAATCCTCTCATCGAAGGTCTTCCTCTCCTACACTGTCCCTCTACCCTCCCAAGCATGGTGTTACTTTCCAAGGACTGATCTGCCTTGCAACATGTCCAAACTATGTCAGACAAA